ACTTTTCATCTTGTTTGTAAACTAGAAATATTTACTGAGTTTGGGGAATATTTTCTCTTTAATGTTGGAAGAATGACAAGATAAGATTTCTGATAAGGAGATCACACACTTCTGAATTTAATCGAAGATCTTTCTCCTGCTGTGTTTTCTTTCAAAGGAAGTATTATGGCTATTCTAAAGTGATGTCGAGCATCTAAATAAATATTGTGAGTATTACTTGAAAGATGCCACATTGCAATTTAATTGTTTTCAATGAGAAGGCTTTGCGTTACTCTCACTCCAGCATCTGAAATAAACAAAATACCTGATAAAATATGAAGTAAATAAAATACCTCATGGACTATAACACTTGGCAGTCATTATTTCTATAGTCTTGGTAGTAATTTAACACTTTTTTTTTTTTGGTCTTGTTTCTAGGTTACAAATGCACACTTAAGATCAATTCCATAATGATATTATATTTTCAGTCATATTATATGGTATCTTAGCAACTCATCATCAGATCATTAAATCTGTAATTAGATACAACTTTAACCAGTAAAGTATTAATAATATGCTCATGAACTAATTTGCAGTAAGTTTAATGATGTAATTTATAGCACATTTAACATTTTAATAATTCAGATATATTAATAAAATTTAAATTCAGTGTTTTAAAGATATGCAGATAATACGGCAATCATCATTCTGTTATGATGCTAGGTTCCAAATACTGATACATAGAAAAGAAACATATGACATGACATAGGCTGTATTTTAATTATTACAAATCCTGTACAACAGGCACAGAGAGCAAGGATCTCTAGGGCTCCAGCATTAAAAAAAAAAAAGGAAAAAAAAAAAAAGCTGAATCAGCAATGCTTTTATCAGTCCTTAAAGGATTTACAGACTGTAGTTATAAAAGTTTTGATGCCAGAGAGAGTTTAACAGAGTATGCTCAAATAATACTGTAATAATATATTTCAGCTGAAATTTGTGCAGGAACTTTCAATATGATATGGCAATGGTTTCGGTTTAGCAAAAACAAAGCAACAGCAGCAAAAACAACAATAACAAAAAGATATTATTAAAGGTTCCATAGGTAACAGTGATTTAAAAATAGAAAATATCTAGCATGTGCAATACCAGCTTCTCTATCTCAAAAAGATACTGAAGAATTAGGGGAATTCAAAACCACCGACAAATGGAGAAACTCTTTTATACAACGAAGAGATAAAGAAAAGGATTTCAGGAGAGGACATGAGTAAGAGGAAATCTGATAAAAGTGAACGAAATTATCATATATATGTAGATACACTCATATATATGTGCGTATATCTAGATGTATATACACACACACATATATGTAGATGATTCTTGTTTGGTAATACAAAGGAATAACTAGTAATAGTGAAAATGATAAAGCAAAACTGACAGAAAATTGTATTTCTGCAATCTTGACTAAAGTAAAATGTACACAGAATAGCCTTACATGACAAATTTATGGATGACCACAATTTTAGCATTATTCCAGTAAATTTCTTCAAAGAAATTTTACAGTAAAATTTACTATCAGTCTCCAACAATAAAAAGAACCTCCTTCACAGGCCATATAGTTCCCTATAGGATGTTTCACAACATTTATGAAATGTTTTGTCCTTCCTGATATTGAAAAGGCTACGAAACATATCCAGGAGATTAATTTTTGTTGCCTCTATCTGGTTCACACTATATCCATATTAAGGAAGTCTGTTTAAACTAACAATTCACTATCAGAGCACAGAGATGTCTTGGTGGTAAATAAAATAATAATGAAAAAAAAATGAAAATAAAAACACATGAAGAAAAAAAAAAAAGCTCTATTTCTATTTCTATTTCACAAATTTGTTCCACAAGTTTAACATTTGGGTCAGATATCAAAATGACACCATAAACTGGACTACAGACCTATCATAAACTACTCTGAAAACAAGAGAAAGTTCAATAGTTTAAGTCTTTACTAAGACTTATTAAACTAAACAGCCTCGGTTTATTCTTTATCTCCAAGACAAGATGCCATCATTTGAACATAATCCATGTTTCAAAAACAAGTCATCTTCACCCAGACTGCTTCATGGGAAATTCTTTTGTTCCCCAACTAGAAATATAGGCATCATCTTTTCAGTGAACCCAAATACTTTTTGAAACAGAAGCAGGACATGAGATGTAATAGCAGTAGATTTCCTTTTCAGTGTC